ATTATATTTACTTTGGGTTTTATAATTTTTATATGTTAGAATTGAGTGAAATTCTCAGTTGTGGCATTAATCCTGGTGGTTGTTACTATTCATGATATTTTATATACATGTGTATGACTCTGTGTTGTGGATGTTTGAGTCTAATGTAAATGACTATGTGAATAAGTTAAACTTAATTACATTGTTGGCATTATCAAGTTGGTTCGGTAACTGGTAAATGATTGTGCCAAATTAGGATTGTGGTGTGAAGGTGAGTCCACTAATTGATCTACATAAAGCAAGGGGCTCATTCATTGGTATGATTTGATTATGCTAATGAAATGTATAAGTTGTGTAGATAAGTTAATACATTTGTGACATCATATTTTCAGAAGATACTCTGTCGAAAAATTGAAAGTTTATTACAGAGTATCCACATTTTGACCATTTTTATTTCACTAAAGTCATGACATTAAAAATGACAAAATGATTTTCTGCTTAATATATGTTTATATTCATTGTTTGATTATTTTGTGTTTAAAAATTATGTACAGTGTCTTCAGACATGTGATCTAGGGCGAGTTTAAGATTTCAGTTTAGTATGTGTCTGCGTTCAGAGCTTGATTATTTCGCGTTCAAATTTAATGTTTGATTTTTTTTTATTACACCGTGCCTTCAGGCACGGGTAATTCCTAGTTAGGTATAGAGGGAGAATCCCATTAAATAAATCTTTAAGGAAAATGTAAAGCATGGACTGAGAGACCATGTAAGCTTGTGATGCGTTCGTCCTAAGTGCATAGGAAACAATCACTTTGAATTAAGTATAAATTGCCTACCATGTATTTATTCAAGATTCTATTATAAACGGAAGTCTGGTATTAAATATGGTCATTTAATTTGTATTGCGGATTCTAATAAAAAATACCATAAATCTTTTGTGTTTTCCCCTCAACTACTCTCCATTTTTTGTGATCATTCGACTTATGTTAAATTAAGTAAAACTTCCTGAAGTTGGAGAGGCTCAATCTAACTTGAAAGATAAAGTATCTTCAAAGTGAATACAACTATGTGAATGGTAGACTTTTTGAAAGGTGGTCACATTCACATACAAGAAGTTGGTCACACGTCAACTTTTCCATAAGGTTGATTAAAATGGGTGGTAGACCGTTCATACTGCCACTTGACCTGTCTCTAAGAAGGGTACGCTTTTCTTGAGGTGGACTAGTGGGGTGTGAGTGTATCAATAGGTTAAGTTTTTTTTTTACTAACCCATACTCTTCATCGCTAAATTCAAAAAAATAGTTGATACAAATCTAAACATCAAGGGCGGCCCAACTTAAATTGGGGTCATAGACAAAAATGTTATATGAGACCCTATAAATATTTATTTAATAATAATACTGATATTAAATACTTATTAAAATATGTTTATTTTCAAATTATTTGTTTTGTCTTTTGAGATATCTAATTCAAATTTTAAATTTAAATTTTACAAATAAAAAGTTTGTTAATCGAAGTCAAATACGGAGATCAAATATAATGATGCATACTATTTGTTTAAGATAAAAGAGAAACATAATTGAAAATTAGTTTGACTAGTAAAATGATTTTTTTTAAATGTATATAAAAATAGGAATTTATACAAATTGAGTAATCTTAAAATAAATGAGACATCTATAATATAAAATAAAGGTAGATTTTAATAAACTCCTCTGGTTGTCTCAANTTAGTTTTTAATTGCTGATTTTTTTATTACATTATGCCTTCAGATACGAGACATTAAATATGTTGTTATTGTCTTTATAGGGATAAAGGATGTTGTCCAATGAAGGAGATGTTTTTTTTTTCTATCAAATGCATTAGTCAAAGTGAGTGTATGTAAGAAGGGAATCATTGGTTTAAACTATATTTAGTACTGAACGTCCATTGTTATGAATAAATGTGAATTATGCTGATATACGATTTTTGATATACCTTTAAGAAAGAGTATGTGCCAAGTATTGTGTAAATTGGAATGATGAAATATAATATGAGATATGGTTGTGTGTTGTTGATCGTGGAGAATTGATTGTGACCTGTGTATGATATGTTATATGATATTGTGAATAATGAATTACGGAAAATAACTGTGGTTTTGTACAATTATTATATTTACTTTGGGTTTTATAATTTTTATATGTTAGAATTGAGTGAAATTCTCAGTTGTGGCATTAATCCTGGTGGTTGTTACTATTCATGATATTTTATATACATGTGTATGACTCTGTGTTGTGGATGTTTGAGTCTAATGTAAATGACTATGTGAATAAGTTAAACTTAATTACATTGTTGGCATTATCAAGTTGGTTCGGTAACTGGTAAATGATTGTGCCAAATTAGGATTGTGGTGTGAAGGTGAGTCCACTAATTGATCTACATAAAGCAAGGGGCTCATTCATTGGTATGATTTGATTATGCTAATGAAATGTATAAGTTGTGTAGATAAGTTAATACATTTGTGACATCATATTTTCAGAAGATACTCTGTCGAAAAATTGAAAGTTTATTACAGAGTATCCACATTTTGACCATTTTTATTTCACTAAAGTCATGACATTAAAAATGACAAAATGATTTTCTGCTTAATATATGTTTATATTCATTGTTTGATTATTTTGTGTTTAAAAATTATGTACAGTGTCTTCAGACATGTGATCTAGGGCGAGTTTAAGATTTCAGTTTAGTATGTGTCTGCGTTCAGAGCTTGATTATTTCGCGTTCAAATTTAATGTTTGATTTTTTTTTATTACACCGTGCCTTCAGGCACGGGTAATTCCTAGTTAGGTATAGAGGGAGAATCCCATTAAATAAATCTTTAAGGAAAATGTAAAGCATGGACTGAGAGACCATGTAAGCTTGTGATGCGTTCGTCCTAAGTGCATAGGAAACAATCACTTTGAATTAAGTATAAATTGCCTACCATGTATTTATTCAAGATTCTATTATAAACGGAAGTCTGGTATTAAATATGGTCATTTAATTTGTATTGCGGATTCTAATAAAAAATACCATAAATCTTTTGTGTTTTCCCCTCAACTACTCTCCATTTTTTGTGATCATTCGACTTATGTTAAATTAAGTAAAACTTCCTGAAGTTGGAGAGGCTCAATCTAACTTGAAAGATAAAGTATCTTCAAAGTGAATACAACTATGTGAATGGTAGACTTTTTGAAAGGTGGTCACATTCACATACAAGAAGTTGGTCACACGTCAACTTTTCCATAAGGTTGATTAAAATGGGTGGTAGACCGTTCATACTGCCACTTGACCTGTCTCTAAGAAGGGTACGCTTTTCTTGAGGTGGACTAGTGGGGTGTGAGTGTATCAATAGGTTAAGTTTTTTTTTTACTAACCCATACTCTTCATCGCTAAATTCAAAAAAATAGTTGATACAAATCTAAACATCAAGGGCGGCCCAACTTAAATTGGGGTCATAGACAAAAATGTTATATGAGACCCTATAAATATTTATTTAATAATAATACTGATATTAAATACTTATTAAAATATGTTTATTTTCAAATTATTTGTTTTGTCTTTTGAGATATCTAATTCAAATTTTAAATTTAAATTTTACAAATAAAAAGTTTGTTAATCGAAGTCAAATACGGAGATCAAATATAATGATGCATACTATTTGTTTAAGATAAAAGAGAAACATAATTGAAAATTAGTTTGACTAGTAAAATGATTTTTTTTAAATGTATATAAAAATAGGAATTTATACAAATTGAGTAATCTTAAAATAAATGAGACATCTATAATATAAAATAAAGGTAGATTTTAATAAACTCCTCTGGTTGTCTCAAATAGACTTATCTAACAGCCACCAACATCTCTCTTAAAACCATTCAAATTAAATTTTTCCCTAAATCTACCATTTTTCACTTACGTTGTACCGTATCTTTAGGCATAAGTTACCCTAATTGTTAAATATCATAGAGAAAAAGAGCTATTTTTAAATAAAAATGATAACTAGTGCACTACTTCTACTCACTCTATGTTATAGTCATCTTGTNAGCTATTTTTAAATAAAAATGATAACTAGTGCACTACTTCTACTCACTCTATGTTATAGTCATCTTGTGAATTATAAAAAAAGTTATTAAAAAATGACCTCAAATCTAATTTATACAAATGTAAAATTATTATTTGTACATATTATACGATAGACAATTGATTTTAATAATAAGACTGACAAAGTAAATATCGGGAGAGATAAAAAAATAAGTTAAACTTTAGGATCCTAAATTCTTTTGAAGGAGGCTCTAAAATTTTTTACAAAATAATGCTAATTGTACTTAATTTGGTACCAAATAAATTAAATAAATAGTGAATTTTGTTTAAAGTTAACACTCACTATTAATTCAATGATTAAAATATATTGAGTATTTAAATTATATTTATATATCATTCTTTATTTTATTTTGGGCCCAATTTTTTCTTCCAATTTAAGGCCCAGGCAATGGCCTAAGTCGGCTAAAAGTTGGGCCGACACTGCTAATCACCCTGTAATAAAAAAAATAAATTAAAAACTCTGGAAAGACATCCAATTGTGCAGGTATGCTTCGACTTAACTTTGGGACATAGATGTATGCAAATACAATAAACGAGACGTGCAGGATTGTTATTTTTTTTTGGGTTGGGGGAATGATTTGCCAGGGAGAAGGCCCAAATTTGCCGATAAGTGGAGAATTACTTAAAGCATCACATAGTATTTGGGGCATCATCGCAATTAACCACAAGTTCATGTCCTTGTTAGCAAACTAAATTACCCAAATCACCTGGACCGCGTATCATGGGTTTGGTGGAAACCGTGGAAGACTCTCTCTCTCTCTCTCTCTCATTTCTTCGAACTTTCGGCACACCTTTTTTTTCCAGGACTATAAATACATGTCTCTACGTAAAGCCATGGACTCTGAAGAAACTCTGTTTATTTAACGCATTGTGGAGACTTCTGGGGTTCTAGTCAATAGTAAACAATGGACTCCGATTCATGGGTTCGTCTATCTACTTCTTCAAGACGTTATCAATCTCGATCTGGTAAGTTCAATGACTCTGTTCATCGTGTGAATGATCAAGAAAATAGTGGAAAGGAAATGGGAATTTTGCAACTCCTACTTTAATTTTTGTTTTATTGTGGTTTTTTCTTTTTCTGGGAAATTGATGTAAATTTTCAATTCCACTCATTTTCTGTCTGTTTCCCAAGAAAATGTTGAAAACAGGAAGAGGTTGGGTATTATTTAGGTGTTGAGGCTCTTAGTTTTCTAGGAAATACGAATGGAAGGTTAGGGTTTGGGTGTTGAAGCTAGTTGAAATGGTTTTGATTGTGGCGAGAATTGTGTGTGCAGATTTGTACCATGGAGGAGAAGAGTTTGATGGTGATGATGAGTCGAGGCCGGAGTTTCTGTGCCCGTTCTGTGCTGAGGATTTCGATGTTGTTGGGCTTTGCTGTCANGAGAAGAGTTTGATGGTGATGATGAGTCGAGGCCGGAGTTTCTGTGCCCGTTCTGTGCTGAGGATTTCGATGTTGTTGGGCTTTGCTGTCATATTGATGAAGAGCATGCGGTCGAAGCGAAGAGTGGGGTATTCATTTTACCACTAGTTTGTCTGTGTTTGTTTTTGAAGTTTTTTGCTTTATGGAGTAATTATGTGTTAATTGAGAGTAAACNCATATTGATGAAGAGCATGCGGTCGAAGCGAAGAGTGGGGTATTCATTTTACCACTTGTTTGTCTGTGTTTGTTTTTGAAGTTTTTTGCTTTATGGAGTAATTATGTGTTAATTGAGAGTAAACATGTGAATATTTTTGGTATAGATTGAACTTTATCATTATATGTAGAAAAAAAATATGAACTTTAAGCTTTTTATATTGGTTGTTGCTCTTTTTAGTTGTGATTCTCATATATTCGTGGCGGTCGATTCTCATTTTGGTGGGAGCTTATAAAATGTTTATTATATATTCTGATGGACATGAATTGTGGACTTGTAGTTGAAAAGTGAAACATAGTTTATCAAAAGTTCTATGTATTTGTCATTTTAACATGCTCAAGAACAATTGTCTAAGCAAGCTTACTTGCAAAGCAAACTTTGAATGTTTAAGTGCTCAGTGTTACTGCACAAGTATTTGGGTATCTAAGGTGTCGGTTTACTGGTATTTGCGCCTTCTAACTTCTTCTTTTGTCCATTCGTGCAATGTTCGTTGGCAAAAACTTTTTGAGAGTACATATGGATGGAAACCAATTCAAAGCTTAAAAACAAGGGCACAGTATTTTTTTGGGTTTAAGTTACATAAGTTGCATTTGCATAATTAATGTGAGGTGAAATATTCATAAATGCAGGTATGTCCAGTTTGTGTGAAAAGGGTGGGGATGGATCTGGTTGGCCATATCACCTTGCAACATGGATCTCATCTCAAGATATCCTTTTTGTTCGAGTTGTATATAGGTTTTGCAATGTATTTTGGTTACAAAATTTAGCATAATGACATCACCTGAAAATAAATTGTACCAGCATTTTATTAGATATTATCTTGCCTTTTGCCAGTTTTTTTATTGTGAAAAGTTCTGTGTGCAGGATTAGAATATAGTCCCAACTGATACATTCGATCAGAAATCGTAAGCAGTTGAATCTGGTTCCAACAGAATCAAAAGGACAAAGCTTGTTGAATTTGTATTTTCATTATGATTTCGTTCCACAATTAGAGCTTGTCTTAAATTCTGTTGAGAAGTTACACATTGTACCTGTGGGACTTAAAACTTCTTTGATTGTGGCTCTATTTGTTCTAAGCCTAGCACTATGTCAGCTCAGTTTGGAACACAATTTGGTTGTTTTTTAGTTGTGCGGGGAAACAAGCAGAGAAATTTCTTTGACAACATTTTTCTAACTGTTTTTACCTGTTGTCTGAGAATTTGTCGTTTAACTTTCATTTGAGACAATATTTATTTATGGATACTGTCATAAGAATCTTTTTCAACCTGTTGTGTTTCTTAGTTTCATTAACTCTGATCAGATTTAGATTTTTCATCAACTTGACTTGTTTACATACCTTTTGATTTAGTAAGCCATGCAGCTGTTTGATGTTTTTTTCAAAATGGATAATTGTACTTCTCCTTGACTAGAGATTACGTACAGCGCAAGAGGAGGTTCCGTAGGGGTGGATTTAATTCCACATTTTCCATATCGAGGAAAGAGTTGCGGGAAGCAAATCTGCAATCGCTTCTTAGGGACTCTTCATTCTTGATTTCTTCCTCCAATAGTGAACCCGATCCATTGTTGTCTTCATTTATACACAGTCGACCTGTAGTCAATGAACCCACTGGTGTTCAACCTCATTCTTCAGCTGGATCATGTGCAGTTGAAGCAAGTTCCGTTGAGGATTCATCCAAAAGGTATGAGCATTGGTGGTAAATATTGCACTTTTCTTTTGTTTGGGGGGTTAGAGGGATAGGTTATGTTTCTTGATTTTTGAGAAATAGATGAGAAAAGAAGTAAATTAGTGTAATCTTCCTTGACTTAGGCATCATATGAAGTAGAAAAAACAACATGAAGTGAAATTGTACTGTCTGAGTTTTTTATTTACCTTTATGTAACGTTCAGGGAGGCTATGTTCCATCATGCTTCACCAAGTGTCTACTTGTAGTTCAAATGTTTTCCAGTCTAGTGTTGATGTAGTTGCATTTTCTCCTCATCCCATGCTTGAGTATTTTTGGACCTTGTCTTCAGTCTTTGGGAGGCAATAATGAATTTCTGAAAGAAGAAACTAATGTATTTAGTTTCAATGAAAATAGTAGTATGCATGCTGGAAACATGTTCTGTCCAGGCCCTCCAGGTTTTTTAGATCCTTAGGAGTCATACATAGTCATGGAGTTTTTTTACCTCACCACCATCATTTTAAACGTATTTTTCAATTTATTTATTTTTCCTTAACAGCATGGATTCAAAGCAAGTTTTCAAGGTTTTCTAGTGAAAGCGTGTTTTGTAAACTTGCTGTTACATTTGAGTTTGTTTAAACCATGATTTTATGGAAGCAACGGTGTAATGGAAAATAAATTTAGAACTACTGCATAGAGGGAACGAGGTTGGAAAATCACAGTTATTTGGAAATTGATTACCTATTCATCTGTGGATATATGTGTGGTGGATAAATGTAAGATACTGTGTACTTCAAGGTTCAGTGTTGATGCTGGCGAGATATGCATCGAGTTTAACAGACTATAGATTCCAATACTTTCTGATGGATGGAACCCCTTTCTGGCTTCTTTTTCCCTTGATTTTCTCTTCCTGGTCGTTAGCAGCAGAAAATGTTCGTTGTACTGTATAGTGTGCATTATATTTACTTTATGTTTATACATAAATTGCATTTGAAAGCTTCCATGCACCTTATTTAACAGCCATTTTTGGTGACAGAAATATCCAACAGTCTCCGCTGTCTGACAAAGACCTAGAAGAGAAAGCTCGGAAATGCGAGTTTGTCCAAGGGTTGCTACTGTCCACTTTTCTTCACGATGACTAGTGAATTTAGGGGGGGAGAAAGAAAGAGGAGTAATAGCTAAACTATTTGCATTTCTAGTTCTGGATGTAGTTTGGAGAGAGGAGAAGATGATACAATGTGCTTGTCGGCTTTCTTAGGCCAGAGGAACTTTGTATTCCTTAATTGTATTTAAAGCTTATTATGCGCATAATGGAATGTGGAAGACTTGTCCATTCCGATCGGTGTTGCTCTCTTTCTTCTTCTGATTTGGGCATATCTTTTGGGCATCATTGTGAGTTTGTTTGAGTCATCTTTTTTGTATTTGGAAGCATAACTGGCGGAGTTCGACGATTAGGGGTGTTAATCGAGTTGAATTTACACATAAACGAGTTTTAAAAAATGTTTAAGCTTGTTTAACAGCCCTATCAACGATTGTTATTCCAGGGTAATTTGTGAGGCCATCTGAATTGGCCTGATTATGCATGGGAAAAACAGCAGAAAAAGAGAGGAGCAATCCAAATTGACGTGTTAGAGCAACTCTAACAATGTTATCTAAAATAACTAAACAAAATATATTTAAATATTGTACTATTTATTTTAGTTAATCACTTTTTCAAATTTATTTCATTCACGCTATCTATTTTAGTTAACTATTTTAACTAATTCTTATTTATTAAAATCTAAAATACTATGTAGTATGCTAGATTTTTAAAATCTAAAATTCTAACTATTAATTATTAAAATCAAAGAATTGAGGGTTTTGTTGAATTTTTTAGGAGTTTTGTTGGATTTTTTTTTTGGGGGGGGGGGGGTTTACCAAATTTTTGGGAGGTTTTACTGGACTTTTGAAGGGGTTTACTTGACTTTTGAGGGGTTTTGTTGGATTTTTAGAGGATTTTATTGGATTTTAATCTCAACTCATCGTTTTCCCCATTTTACTTGATCCAGTTTTCTGCGATGAAAAAAATACCTGCTTCCCACAATTCATCTCTTTCTACTCCTAGGATCCGATTCTCTGTGAGAGAGAGAGAGAGAGAGATTGAGACCATACCTATTTCTGAGGAATGAAACCTCTGCGATGAAGTCTTCTATGGACTGAGCTTTTTTGGAGTTGACGATTTGATTCATAGTGATGTGCAAAGATAAAGCCTGGAATGGACGAAAAACCCTCTGTCTAGTTGAGGAAGACGATCAACGAAGGAAACTGAAATTGGGGGTGTTATTGACGCAAAAAACAGAATACCTAGCTTCTTTATCTCGCCAAGAATAATCAATCAAACGAAAGTTATAGGAAATAACTAGTGTGATAGTTAGCCTATTGAATACAAGATTTAAGAATTTCTTATATAAAATAGTTGAGATGTGCAATTTAGCTAGCCTGTTGAAGTTGCTATAGCCATGAAACTGGAATGTTTAAGGAATAGAGAGCCGTCGTCTAGTATGTCAACCAAATTGAAAGCTGGAAACAAGAGAAAAGCGAAACATATGCTATCAACTAAGTTGGCACCTCGGATGGTTATTCTTTCTTTCTTTTTTTCCCAATTCTCTAACGACTTAAATTCTAGTTTTCTGGTTACGCCAGCAGGGAGAAAAATAATAAATCTTGGAAATAGGTTTATAACAGCATACAAATAAGCCGGGTAGATGAAGGAGCTATTTTCAATAAATTAACATAAGAGTGTCAAGTGATGAATTTTTTGATTCAACGGTCAGAGGTGTCTGACCTATTTTATACACACTTCAAATAATTCTCTCTTCGATCTGCTCAAAGGTAGAATATCAATGTCGGGATTAAGATATTCATAAATAATAAATCTTTCTTGATTTTACCNGGTCAAAGGTAGAATATCAATGTCGGGATTAAGATATTCATAAATAATAAATTTTTCTTGACTTTATCCTAAAAAATTATCAAAATTCAAATTCAAAATGTCCGAAAATGTTCAAGTCCTACCTCTTGACAAACCCTGGTGCTTATAACAAATGTCATTTATCAGAGTTAAAACAAAGAAGGCAAGACTACATGGAAGCAATATAAGGAGCTTTTTCCCAAATCTAGCCTCCCCATCACTTTATTCAAAAATTCAGTTTCTTTTAAAGTTATTTTTTAAATTCAGTCTTTTTTTAAAAACGTCATTTCAAATGATGCCTTAATGGTATAAAACGTCATTTAAACGGACGCATTTAAAAACATCATTTTAAATGACGTTTTTAAGTTATTATTTTAAACAATTTGGTAACGACATTAAATGACATTGAAAATTAATAAAACGTTATTTGAAACGACAACTCTAAAGACGTCATTCTAAACGATGATTTACGCTAAATAATTTAAGTCAGATTTTCAAAAAAACAATTCCCAAATCGCAATAGGTCAATCGAGCTCTCCTCCTCCCTTCTCTCAGATCCCTTTCTCAAATCAGATCCCAAATCACAGGTCACTAGAGCTCTCCTCCTCCCTCTCTTAGATCGAGCTTTCCTCATCCTCTAACCACTGTCGCCGTGTTCTCCGACGACGAAGATTGATCTCTTCTCCGCCTCCAACCACTCACCCACCATTGTATCCGACGAGGAAGACCAGTTCGACGAATTTGATATGCGCACCAAATTTTAATGAATATAAAACATATGTTAGTTCGAATGCTACATTAAAACTAATTTATGACATTCGTGGTGCATTATAGAAAAAATAATCTTTCAAAGTGCAAAATAAAAATTGAAACTTTTTTCATTCGACTTTCATGATACAACACACGAAAGTCTTAGAATTGTCCGAACTTAATCCAAAACAGACAACATCGTACGGGTCTGAAACGTTATAAAAACAAGAAAAAAATTGTAACATTAGTATTGCGTTTTATGCAGACCAAAAATTAATCTACTTCTTCTCTTTAACTTGATATATGCAGGGAGACAATTGAAGAGCGTGAAGCACCGGGTTGCTGGAATTGATAAGGAAAATTTGACCTACAGTTACAGCATAATCGAAGGCGATGCTTTGATGGGTCTTGAATCAGTCTCTTATATGGTCTAATTGAGCCTTCCGCTGATGGAGGATCCATCGGCAAAACCAGCAGCACATACACAACAAAGGTGATGCCCAGATCGAAGAAAGAGAAATTAAGGATGGGAAAGAGAAGGCCATGGGAATGTTCAAGGCTGTTGAGGCCTACCTCTTGGCAAACCCTGATGCTTATAGCTAATTCCATTGCATTTGCCACCAAATATATATGTATGCTGAGATATATAGTGTCATGAGTGTGCCTTTGTTTCATCAATTAGAAGTGTGGCTTCATGTGTTTTTTCCCCCCCTCTGCTTTAAGCTTTGATAAATAAGTTTATCCCAGTTGTGATCCTGAAGTTGTTTGCTTCAAGAGTCTGTATTTATGATAATAAATATGCAGAAAATCATTTGAAACAAATTTCTTGTGAACGATGGTGGTGGGGGTCTGTGAACTTGAAAATTGAGAATGTAACTCCATTTGCTGATCACCATGTCTATTTGCTGTCATCTGCAATTGCATTTGAAACATGTAGTATTGAAAAGGGTTTCAAACCACTACAGAAGGCTTCTTGTATATAACAGTTATAGATAAGTAGTAGGTAGTTTTATCCCCATCTGGGAGATGTTGATTCCCGGACTCGAACCACAACCTAAGTAATGGACATGTGTACTAGCTCCAAATAATTAATTTACTATGATGGAATTCGTCGGAGAATTAAAACCACGAGACTGTGAGCTCTATTAGTCCAATAATCATGTAGCCTAAGTCAGACTAGTCAGTATTACAATTTTATATCATAATTGACTAATTTATATGCCAGCGATAGACATATACCCAAAATCGTTAGCATTGAAATATGAATCTGCCATGAAAATGACCTTCTTCCTGAATTACAATCCAGTCTAGGTTTGTAGCTCCTTTGAATGTAAGAGAATATTCCTGTGATAGACAAGAACAGAAACAAGAAAAATCAACCTTAGTAACCATTATTATAACAGGGGCAAGTCAGATTGTTTAGTAGATTGTGTTTGTCAAGCAAATCCTTGACTTAGAGCAAGTCAAGTCAAGGGTACAAATGAGAATAATGAAAAATATGGTGAAGAATAGACAGAAAATAATAAAGATCTTCACTTTGGATTGGTGAAAATTGGCATGAAAGTCAGAAGTCCTGCCAATTTCATAGACTGTTAGAAGATTTATTTAGAGAATTGATTAGTCTCACATATTTTTGGGTACTGAAGAATCGTCTCAACCACAAGTCCTTTTGGACTCACTGTAACTTAAACTCGAATTCACGTAACCACCGACTTTGAAACCCCATGCCAGCAGAATGCAAGTCTGTAAGTAACAAACATCAATGACTTCAGAGGCTCAAATCAGCCATTTATTTTTCCAGCCTCTGTTTGAGCTCCATCATTAATGCTTAGATGTAAGGAACTTGTAAGAGAGACTCTGGACACTGCAAAGATTGGGATTGGGGATTATGTTGGGCTAGCATTATAAAGTACCACAACAACATTTTCGGCTATTTAGAAGGCCAGTTTTTTTTTTTTTCTATTGTCTAGATGCTTCTTCAATTTATTTCTTGTCATGTACAATCAGCCTTGCCTATATGAATGTCTTAAATTGATGCATTCAGGGACCATTGCTGTAGGGTGGTGGTGGTTGCTACCGTATACAGTAGCTGATTGTAGTGGTGGTGTTAAGGTGACAACAAAAAAAAATGCCAAAATGTAGACTTCTGGACATGACATCTCAGAAGGATAGATCAAGTGTTTGGGCCTCACTAATTGTAAGTGATTGTGTATATCCGAGATTTGCATTACAACCATGGGTCCAAATGATACGTGGTTGGGAAGAATTAAATGCGGCAGCCTTCAGAATTTTTATTCTACCTCCGTTCTTAACTTGTGATTTTATTATATTTTTGAAATATGTTAAATAAACTTAAATAATTGACTTGTAACCACATTATCAAATCAAGTTTTGAAGTTGGTTTTTTGAGTTTATGTAACATTGCTCTTATTTTTTTTTTACTGTTTTTGCATTGAAAAATGCTAAATAGATTTAAAAATTTGACTTGATGAATTATTATCATTGAATATGTAGTCGGTCTCAAAAAAATTGGGACCCACAGTTAAATAAATGATAAATATAATAATTATGTCATTAAGTTAAGTTTTTAAATCGAGCAATGCTATAAAACTCAAATAAAACTCAAAAAATTGTAACTCAAATACATATCATCCATTAGATGAATAGATCCCATTAATTTTTTTAATAAAGTCCATTCATCTCGTATTCATTCAAAAGATGATATAGATTTGAATTTAAATTTTTAAAATTTATTTGAATTATATAACATCTTTTTTTTTAAATCTTTCTAGGCTGCATTGTATGTGGCACATAGTACAATACAGGTGTTAATGCCATCACTTCCTTTACATTGTTGGTTGTAGCAGGTATGGTTGCCCAACGTCCTCATTAAAGAATGGCAGCAAAAGTATACCAAAACTTGTACCATTTCCTGTTAAAACTACCGCCCCATACTCGATTTTTCACACTTTTCTAGATTCCCATTCGGTAATTTCACTAATAGAGAGATAAAATAACGTACATGTGACCATGGATGCTGCACCGAAAAAATAAAAGATGTCCTTTAATACAAGAAGCTACAGAGACTTGACACAGTCTACTTTATGATCTATAAATGGCACCAGTGATGTTCACTATCTTCCACACTCCAAAAGCATATCCTCCATTCCCTTTGAGCTATTTTGCTTTCTTCTTTCTCCAATTCATTTCTGAGATTTTAAGGATATCCATCATGGGTGTTGTCACTTTAACCGAGGACTTCACGAGCACCATTCCAGCCTCCAGGCTTTTCAAGGCCATTGTTCTTGATGCTGACAACCTCATGCCCAAGATTGCTCCTCAGGCAATCAAAAACATAGAGATCATTGAAGGCAATGGAGGGCCTGGAACCATCAAGCAAATGAACTTCCCTGAAGGCTTGCCACTTTTACTTGAAAATTGTCATCGGTTCCATGTAGCCCAGGATCAAAATTTCATTGAAATGAATTATCGATTGAAAATCAAAATTACCCGTGTTTTGGACGTTTCGGATTTGAAATTCTATACTTTTTTGTGATTTCGAAATGTTTCTGTTTTCGAACTGATCGATACTATGCATCATAATGAAATTTTGATCCTTGAACAAGTCATTCATAATGTGACAGTGTTTAACTTGTTTTCTCCTCTATGTGTATGCAGGAAGTCCTTTCAAATTTGTGAAGCATAGGATTGATGCATTGGACAAGGAAAATATGACATATGCTTATACATTGATCGAAGGTGATGCTTTGATGGACAAACTCGAGTCGATTTCCTATGAGATCAAGTTCGAGTCCTCGCCCGATGGAGGATGCATTGGGAAGAACATTAGCAAGTACCACACAAAACCAGAGGTTGAAATCAAAGAAGAGGAAGTGAAGGCTGGTAAGGAACAGGCTGCTGCTGTGTTCAAGGGTGTGGAAGCCTATCTCTTGGCAAACCCTGATGCATATGCTTGAATGTTGCCTTCATGAGACACTCTACACTCTCGTCATATCTCTCATTCCATGTTGTCTTGCTGTCTTGTGCTTTTGTGTTCTCTCTCCAACCAAATGTACCAATTTGGGTTGATAATAATAAAAAAAATAAAGAGTTGTTTGTGAAGTTTGATGTGTATGAAGAGGTAATTTTGATCTACAGGAGTGATAATTTAGTCCCATTTCTTGTGCTTCTTGATTATATCAGCAATATGGATGGTATTTCAACCAATTAGTCAGTTCTGATCTAGATATTTGTACTGGACAGAGCTGCTTTGCAGATGGTTGAAATTAAAAAGATAAAAGATCGTGCTTAGTGAGCGTGCAATGCTGCAAAATTAAAGAATTCTCACTTTGCACTTTAAAAGATGAAAATTTTTACACCTCGACGTATTAAAAATGTTGTAATGTGACATTTCTGTTTCTCATTCCATCGGCGTCAATAAAGTGGGTTTTTGACGGAACAACATTTTTAGTACATTGAAAGTGTAATATGAGAAATCTTATCTTTTAGAGTATAAAGTAAAAAAATTCAAATCCTTCAGAGTTGCCAGGTGAGATTCAAAATGTCAAAAAGAGTCCATAAGGCTTACAGTTTCCCCTAGCCTTCTTGTGGCTTTCAACATCACCAACCCCTCCTCTAACAACTTCACCTAATCACAAATGATAATATCACCAATGATCCAAAACGTCAAACAAAAATGTTGCGGCTATCCGACATTTTCCGGAATGAAATTTTGATCATTGAACGGAACAAGAATCCCATAATGGATAAATTTAAAGACTACAATTTCCATTTGATTCTAGGGGCAGAGAACTTACAATGGTTTAGTCATACTTCAGATACAATCCTGAAAGTTGGTAAATATATTTTCCTCAGGTAAAAATGTGTCAATATTTTCTACCCTTTCCCTTTTGTTTTATTCATGTTTGAGCAAATGTTTGGCATATAGCATATGCATGTCTTTAAGTGGAGAAAACCTTATTACTGTTCTTTGCACTTGTGTTTATCATATCATTAGCTTTTCTACCTTATAATGGTCTTAGGGAGAGGCCATATGGATTATAACTATTCACCTTAGCATAATTACATCATACTTGGGACAATGATGCCTTTCAGTGCTAAGGTTCTCTGTATTACAAGACATATAGATTGTACAAGCAGAGTAAAACATAGCCTTAGTATTTTCTAAGGGCATGAACCAATCAAAAACAATTTTCGAAAAAAAATAATCCCTTATTTCACACTATATATACACCCTCTCACCATAAGCCCCATCCATAGAATTCCCTCTTCTTCACCCTTGCTCTAGTTTGCATTCAGGACTCCTGAAGGCATGGGTGTCATCACGATAACTGAGGAGTACACATCCCCAATCCCTCCTGCCAGGTTATTCAAGGCCTTGTTCCTCAACGCTGACAATTTTCTCCCAAAACTCTTGCCGCAAGTCCTTAAGAGCATTGAACTTGTCCAAGGAGATGGAGGGGCCGGCAGTGTCAAGCAAATGAACTTTGCGGAAGGTAGGAAGGCAGCTTACATTAACCAGGAAATTTCACAAGTATTCAATAAGTAAATGCTATATATCCAGTTTTTTTTTTCGATAAAAAATCATTCCAAAAAAAGAAGATATACAACATAACTCAATACACGGACCAAGGGAACTCGACAGACATTGCCTCCCTAATGGTAACTAGTATCTTCTCATGTCCAAGAGGTTAGGATAAAATAAGGCCCAGCTAAAAAAACAGTTTTCTACCAATTTTTCTTTCAAAACAATGACTGCTGCAATTGTTTTCCCATGCAGGAATCGGTTTAGGCCCTTTGAAGCACAGAATCGATGAGATCAATGAAGAGACTTTTGTGTACCACTACACATTGATTGAAGGTGAGGACTTGCTGGGTAAGCTTGAAAAGGTTTCTCATGAAACTAAGTTTGAGCCTTCTCCAGATGGTGGTAGCATTTCTAAGATTACCAGCAAGTACTACACCTTGGATGATGCTGCGATTACTGAGGATGAAATCAAGGCCAGCAAGGAAAAGGCCATGGGAATGTACAAGGCAGTGGAAGGCTACCTCCTCCAAAATCCTGATGCTTATGCTTAAGTCTGGTTTGTAGTTTTTCAGGTCTCTTTGATATGGTGCAATGTGTCCTTTGATTTTTGTCCGTTGGAGTTACCTTTGCAGTCTTAATAAAATCTTACACTGCTCATGATCACGAGTCCTAGTGGAAGCATTTCGGACTCCCGGTGTGTCAACAGGGGAAAAAAAATTAGAAAAGTTTGCTTATAATATTGGACAAGGTTTATCATCATAACTGTTATACCAAGCTACATCATCTAAGAATCGTTTTGCAGAAGATTTGTATTGAAAAAAAAAAGGAGATTAGCAGAGGATTTCAAACAAAGTGCATTTAAATGATTCGAGAAAAATGATCAGACTTATTGAGCAGATGAGGCTTACAAAGAGCTAGAACAATCAATATTGTGCAATTTTGAGGCTTAGGGTTTGTTCTGGGAAAGAATATCTACCATTTTCCCTGCTATACATTTCACATGCCTTAATTACATTAGGGGTGAAAATCTTACATGATAGCATGACACGAACTCGATGGAAAGGAACAAGCCATAACATTTGGTTTTGCTAGGATGCTTCTTGGCAGAAATTCTAATACTAGCCCCACTTATTGTGCTTGAATATATGAACAGTATGGTTTCACAATCAACTAATCAGTTCTGATCTGGACCGCTTTTCTGATTCTAATTGAAAAGATAAAGATAGAGTATTTTGCACGAATAAAAGGCCAACATCAGGTGTGCAGAAGCCACCTCCATTTCATACCCCAGCGAACCATTTCATGTTCCTCAGCCTTAAATAAAAATCAACATCTGTAGCCTGCAAATGACACAACTAACACGCGAGTGAGGGCCTGACGACACCATTCCTAGTTTATTATGTCAGTTCATGCTTATTTCACTTCTGAAGAATGGTGGCCTCCAATGTGACAAAGAGCATATAAGTTTTTAGATATTGCACAGATTGGTTAGAGATTTACCAACTTGAGAGAATAGAAACAACTAAACGTTATCTGAATAATCCAGGGATAACCCTTATATAACAGAACACAGGTTTACATTCCAAATTTCAGAAAAACTAACATCAGGTTTATAGTTTCCCTAGTCTCTTTATGGATTTCAAAATAATTGCTCTAAATTGCATCAGCATCACCAACCTCTGCTATGGCAACTTAAAATCAAATTGTGTTTTATGCCATTGATAACTAGTAACTCTAGATATGAATCTTAACTGTACAGAAACTGCATTATGGACAATAACCAAGATTGTAATTAGCATTTGATCATAAGGGCAGACAACTTTGCATCGATTTTAAACACTCTTGAAAACTTCAGCCTTCACGAAAGTCAGGTGAATATGTCTCCCTAAATGTCATATAGTATATACTTGTCTTGAAGTATGACAACCATATTACTGTCCTTTGCATTTGTATGTATTATATGACCGGTCTTTCTCCCTTATTATGGTCTTGGCTATAGGGCACATGGATTATAATCATTCATTTTAGGATAATTACATTGTAATACCCCTCTATGTTAAGGTTCTTGCTGTGACTGATGACATACAGCTTGGACAAGGAGCCAAAAACATTGCCTTAGTGATTGCTGATGGCATGAGCCAAACAAAAAAAGATTTCAAAAAGCAACAATCCCTGACTTCAACCTATATAAGTACACCCTCTCACCATAACTGTCATCAGGAAAAACTCTTTTCTCAAATCAAGTCCCTCTTCATCCTCGCTCTAGTTTGCATTCAGGAATCACAAAGACATGGGTGTGATCACTATAACCAATGAGTACAAGTCCTCAATCCCTCCACCAAGGATATTCAAGGCCTTGATCTTCGACTCTGACAACTTGCTCCCAAAACTCTTGCCACAAGTCATTAAGAGCATTGAAGTCATCCAAGGCAATAGAGGGACCGGAACCTTGAAGAAAACAAACTTTGCTGAAGGTAGATTGCTTGCCTAGGTTATATATAACCCACAAGTTTCACTAGTATTCAGCAGAGTTAATGCTTTAGAACAAGATTTTTCAAAAAATTGTTCTGAGAAAACAGGAGACACATCATAACTCAATACACGCCCCAAGGCCACTAGACACACATTGCCTCCCCTATCTGAGAAACACCCCAAAAGATTAGTAGCTAGTATATTCTCACATTCAAGAGGTTAGGCTAAAACACTCGCCTATCCAAACAAGTAATTGTCTACCTGTGGTTCTTACATAACACTGAAAGTCTGAAATGAGGTTTTTTTCCCCCATGCAAGAAGCCTATTAAAATCTCTCAAACACAGAATCGATGAGATCAATGAAGAGACTTTCGTGTACAACTACACATTGATTGAAGGTGAAGCCTTGGTGGGCAAGTTTGAAAAGATTTCTCATGAAGCTATGTTTGAGCCCTCACTAGACGGTGGTACCATATCTAAGATGACCAGCAAGTACTACACCTTGGATGATGTTGCCATTACTGAAGAGGAAATCAGGGCCGGCAAGGAAAAGGCCATAGGAATGCACAAGGCTGTGGAGGGCTACCTCCAAAACCCTGATGCTTATGCTTTGACCTTGTACTTTATATAGTAGCGTTTGTGGATCTCTTTGAGTTTGTGGCAATGTGTTCTTTGCTTTTGTCTGGCTCTAGTTGCCTTTGATTCCATAATAAAATCTCTCCCTGCTGGTGATGATGTTGGGAATAAACTTCCCAAGTCCACGCTTCCATATGGATGATAACAGAATGAGAAAATAATAGCAAAGAATCCACACACATGGTTTACATGAAATACTCGCAAATCAAGAAAAAAAACCACGAAGCAACACCTAATCCACTATGAGATGAGACGAGCAAAATTCATGGAGTACAGAGAATAAGCCGCCCACGCATTGTTATTTGACATGAGGGCAACATAGCAAGTGTGAATCAATAACAAAAATACTCTATACGAAAGATAATCTAAAAATTTCCGGAAATGCATTGACTAAATATCCAATACTATCATACTGCCCACTAACTTGTGTATGACTTGCTGATTGCAATTTTTCTTTCCGCATATAAACATTTTGGACTCTTGGTGTGTTAACAAGAAAATAAATTATAAAATTTTGCTTATGGTGTTGGACAGGATGTTTATCATCATGACTGCTATATCAAGCTGCAAGAGATCCTTTCTTAACATCAAATGTGTTGGTACTAGATAGAAATCATAAGTCCAACACTTTCTTTGTTCTCAAAGACCCACTACATATTTTCGTCTTTTGTCTGGACGTGTGGGGTTAGGAAGCTACTGTGACATTATGGAGAGTTTATGGTCCTTGAAAAGTCGAGGAACTTTGTTCAATGCCAACCTTTCAGTCTCTGGATCAAAAGAATTCAGAGATAGCTAATTTAATATAGAAAGTTTGAATCTCCAAAAAAAAAAAAAAACTCTTGTTTATCTAACACAGTTGGTTTCTATGACGCCCCAATTTTTCCAGGGTAATTTAGTATATTTTATGTGATTTTTGTGACAAATATACAAAATTCATCAAATGAATTGAAGTTCACGTACTGGTTTAGATTAGACAATCAGAGCATCTAACGTACTTTCAAGTAACTTAGGTACAAAGGATTTGTAATTTGGGCATTTATACCCAAATTATATATTTATCCCAAAAGTAGTTCATAATCGACACTATTACATTCTGTCGGTTTTGAAAATACACCAACACAACAAAACACAAGTCACAAATCTAGAATTTGCTCGAGCGTTAACATGAAATATAATATCTCATAATCCAACTGAGCACAGATACTTAAGATAGCTCCGGGAAGAAACTTTCGTCATCTCTTAATCTATTCCCTGCAAAAATGATAGGGTGAGCCAATGTCCATTAGGAAAACAACTATCGAGTGTTAATCCCATCCCACATGACATAGGTATACACGAAATTCTCAAATAATATTCATGACAAGTAAATATAGCAATATTAAGCTCATAATGTGCTTAAAGCAGTGCATATGACGTACCAACAAAAAAAAATCGTTCTATTTAGCAAGTACCCAATATTACCTATTCGTGCCATGGGCCACTCTAGACTTTCAATCTTAGTCTATGGTTATTTACACCAGTACATCATTTGTTATGCACAAACTCTTAGGGAACACCAAGTACCTTTGATGGCTCTAACCTCGGGTGTACCCCACCCCCTCGTCCTTAGATGCTTTCAATCAGGGCACGAGTAACCCCGCATCTCGACGGATGCTATGCTTGATCAAGACTTATTCTGGGTCTTTCACCCAAGGGAGGAGCGATCCCTACTTATTTGTCACATATTGTTCAAACATTACCATTTTGTGTATCACATTATCGATTATGTATACTAACCAAGATTATCACGTGTGATGCACCTTCCATCAAATTACCATTTAGTATACTCATGGTGTAGTTAGAAATAAGAATTTCAATACCATCCCGACATGTTAATACATATAAGAGTATGTACTATTTCAACCTTAGTGTAATTACCACCATTGTGAACATGTCGTCATTTATCATTCTTTGTATGTCAACATATCTCATGTATGTCACCATACTTTAGTGGTTGTTAATATTGACTAGAATTACATCGTTACTTATACAACCAATATATATACTTTGCATAACCATGAGTGTTGTATATAAATATGTACACTCCTAAAGAGCTAATAATGTATGATCACCTCTATCTTTTGAGTTTTAGAAACTTTCGGGGTCTTTAGATAATTTCTAAACACATGATCTACCAATATGACGTAATTTTATAATCTCTAAAACAATCTCATAATTGTTCGGGGTCAATCTACAGTTTTAGAAACATTTCCTAACTATTAAAAATATTGATTTAGTGTTTAGATAATATTTTATGATCTTTTAGGGTCATTGTGTTATTTCAACAGGTATTTATCTATTACTTCTAAAAACACAAAAGGGGACTTTCTGTCACTTAACAAAACCTTGTACTTAATTTTATAATTTCAATAACTAAGTATATGTTGTAGCTAAAACTAAAAGGGGTAGTTTTTGAATTTAAGTCATCATCTCCATCTTCTTCCATCTACGCCCAATACTGCTCTTCTTCTTCTTCTTCTTCTTTTTATCTTCTTCTACCTGATTTCATCTCTTAAAATTATTTTTATTAATTTCTTTAGGAGATATAAAACCCATTTGAGAGACTTACACATTCAAATAAGTATATAACATACCCACATATACACCAATATATGTGTAATTCCATCATGCATAAACCCACATGTTTCATATATATATATATATATATATATAAACATACTCTACAATCAATAGATCAAGGAAGACAACAAGATAGTTCTAATCTTATCTTTATACTTGGATTGATCTTCCCAAGAGCTTTAGCACCTCAACAATGGTGGATGACCTCTGGGTGTGTGTGTGTGTGTGTTTAACTTCCAAGACTAAGGCTGCCCGATTTCTTTCTCCCCCCTTTCATTTGTTTTGCCTGTATTTATACACTGAGGAGAAGTGGCTTCAGTCTTCAGTCAAAGTAGTGATCTATGGTCATGGGCGGCAATGACAGGCAATTAAACTTCCTTGTCTTCCTAAAATGGTTAATGTCAACTAAATAGTCATGGCAGGCTGTCATGGCTGCGCTATTTATCATCATTTTTATTTTTGTTATTATTATTTTAATTCATTTAATTTTGTTTAACTAATTTAATTTAAGCTAATTTGTCCTCGGTACTAAACATAGTCAATATCATACTAGTCGGACTCGTTTTCATGAGAGGAATTCAACAATGAAGTCCATTTCTTCATCCAAGTTTTCTATTAAAAGTAAAAATTTTGATAACTCAATAGATATAATTATAAATAGCGGGTTTTCACATTCTACCCTTAAAATAATTTTGTCCTCAAAATTAAATTCTAACATAACTAATTTAAGAAAATATACCTCCATCCTTAAACAAGTGTGGGTAATGTCCCGCATTGTTGCTTCATGCTCCCAGGTTGCTTCTTTGATTCCTCGTTGTCTCCACAAGACTTTGACAAGGGGTATAGTCTTGTTTTGTAGGACTTGTTCTCTTCTATCTAAGATCCGTATTGGCTTCTCCTCATAGGTGGCATCCACTTTAATCTCCATCTCACCCTAATCAACCACATGTGAAGGATCTGACTCATATTTTCTCAACATAGAGACGTAAAATACATTGTGCACCCTTTCTAACTGTGGCGGTAAAGCCAATCGGTATGCAACCGCACCGACCTTTTCAAGAATTTCAAATGGTCTGATAAATCGAGGGGACAACTTTCCCTTCTTCTCAAACCTCATAAGACCTCTACGAGGCATCATTTTCAGAAACACTTGATCCCCAACCTCAAATGCTAAGGGTCTCCTCCGTTGATCTGCATAACTTTTTTGGCAACTCTGTGCTGCAAAAAGTGTCTGTCTAATTAGACCCACTTTCTCGGTGGTCTCCCTAACTAACTCTGGACCAAATAATGGACCCTCCCCAACTTCGGCCCAACATAAGGGTGATCGACACGGCCTACCATATAGTGTCTCATAAGGTGTCATCTCTATGCTAGACTGATAGATGTTGTTGTAGGCGAACTTAATCAAAAGGATATGATCTTCCCAACTACCACCGAAATCTAGTATACTTGCTCTCAACATGTCTTCAAGAGTTTGGATTACTTTTCAGATTGACCATCTGTTTGCGGGTAAAACGTTGTATTGAATATCAATCGAGTACCCAAAGCATTCTGAAAACTCTGCCAAAACTGTGCTATAAACCTTGGATCTCTGTCGGACACTATCGACACCGATACTCTATGAAGCCTAACTATCTCTCTGATTTATAATCGACTGAGTGCGTCCAAGGTGTCTGTCATTCAAACTGGCAAAAAAAGTGCTGACTTGGTCAGTCGGTCCACCACCACCCACACTAAATCGTGTCTTCTAGTAGATTTTGGTAAACCAGTCACAAAGTCCACAGTCACATGTTCCCATTTCCACTCAGCAATAGGTAGGGGCTGAAGTAACCATGTTAGTCTTTGATGCTCAGCTTTTACTTGTTGGTAGATAAGGCATCTAGCCACATAGCATGCCACATCCCTTTTCATCCCACTCCACCAATACTCGTGACGAAAATCTTGATACATCTTTGTGCCTCCTGGATGTACTGCTATCTTGGAATGATGAAACTCCCTAAGCACCTCATCTTTCAATGACTCGTTATTGGGTACAAAAACCCTGTCTCGAAATCTCAAGCTCCCGTCTGAGTGTATGGCCCAACCGTCCATTCTTGTGCCACTGTGGACTCAAGAACGGATAGAGACTGTCTCTGAATCCTGACCTTGTGCTTCTATCACCCGACTAAGGAGCGCTGGTGTGGCCACCAAATTATAGAGACAAGTACGGTCACTCTGCTCATCCAACTGTAACCCAAATTGACTAACAATCTCCATCATCTGTCATTCTTTTGATGCTATGCGAGCAACTATCCCCCCGTGACTTCCTACTTAAAGCATCAGCTACCACATTTATCTTACCAGGGTGATAAAGCCAAGTGAAATCATAATCCTCAA